CTCTTCATTTGCACCCTCTCCTAAAGCTGTCATTAATAATAATAATAAATAATAATAATATTAAATAATAACAAATAACAATAAATAAACCTTGAACAAGAGCACCACCCGTTTGCTGTGTGTTCGAATTCGCCGTTGAAACCATTTTACTCCACGGACTGTGAAAGAATTTCAACTGCAGCATTGCAACAATACAAAACGATACTGGTGCAAACAGACGCACGAATAGGATCCTTCAATTATCACTTACCATTACAATAATAATAATAATAATAATAAATAATAATAATGAGCAATAATAAATAACAATAAATAATAATAAATAATAAAAGATACGTCGAGTCGCGTTTCTCATCCTTGTAATTGATCAATCCAATATCATCGGTCCATTGTTTCGAGAGTCCCGTGAATCTAAACCAGTACTCCGGAATGCCAGGGAATTGGAAGCAATATATAGCGAGCAGTACGAGCGATGAATAGATCACCAGCAACGTCCAATACGCAAACAGTGTCTTACGGAAACACCCGAATGATATCTGTCATTACAATTATTATTATTATTATGTTAGCTATCAGAACGAAAACGAAAACAAGTGTTATCATTTCACTTAATCACTTAATTAATCACTTAATTAAACACCCTCTCTGCTCTGTCAAATCTAATCAGCAAATAATAACCTGCAAAAAGGTGAGCAGTAGAGCGAAGAATAGGAAATAGCCAATGGTATAGCAGAGTGGAGGTGACTGAACGGACACCAACAACAGCACCACAGCAACCACAAATATCCAGTACTTTACTAACAGACCACTGAACCACGACACTGCTTCAGTGCCACCAGACTCGTTCTATAATCCAGCAATTATACAATAATTAATAAAAACAATAATAACGAAAACCAACCAAATTCCCCGATTGATTGCTGCTGTTGCTGTTGTAAATGGTTCTGAACGTGCCATACGATGCAATCTGCTTTCTACGATCTCGATCACTCAGCGAATTATAAAACTTCTCACGTAAATGCAAACGTAACAGTATAAATAGCGGTAGGCATAAGATACCCTAAAAATTCAATTCAGGTCGCAAAAAAATTTTTTTCAATAATTTCCTAAAATCACAATTAGTCATTCAGCATGCTGAAATATTTATGGTACCCAAAAAATAATACTAGGCTTAGGATCAGAACAGGCTTGTCAGCGTTTAAGGCGAGCTGAAGGCTGCTTCTGATAGCATAAGGATTAGTAGGATATTGCAAACACAGCCACAAATAACTTGCAAACATGGCTAATTCTGCAGTGTGACAGGTTTCAGGGGGGCAATGAAGATGATATGGAATACACGAAACAATCTGAGGGTATTCGTAGAAAAACATCATAATCATCAATAATAACAATACATTCATCTACAGTGAATCCATACCGCAATATAACCCACCACCAAACACCAATCACCACAAAACACAACCAACCAACCAACCAAGCAACCAACCACTCGAACCAAGAACAAAATCAACACTGATTTGTTTTCATTGAGTGCGTGTTCATATAAGGCACGCAATGCGTATAAAAAGTACTAAGTGAAGTAAACAACAATACGATTTGACCTCTCTTCGATCAAAATGATCTGATCTCGATCGAAATGTTTTGATCTCGATCAAAACACTTTCAGTCGAACTCATCAGATCGCGCGCGTATCTACTACTGAAACCATGCGCATTTCGCACGATTCACATTTCGAACCCACTCAACACACTACCAATCAAAAAATAAAATTCAAAATAATTCCTTCCCATCATCTAACTTAATTTCAGTATATTTACTGTTCAATCGTCAAACATCCACTAAAATCGCATCGTATTTTCGCCGCCCATAAACTAAATAATTCCTAAAATCAATCAATCGCATAAATTCGCTCCACACCAACAAAATCAATACAACTTCGTTGAGTTTCAGTTAGAAATTTGAGAATTTTCATTGCGCGATACAAAATACAAAATTTTGCTACCGAATAATGAAACGGAACACACGCAAAGAAACACACCATAAAATGACGATAGTC